AAAAGTTCAGTACAGTCGGCACAGAGAATCGAAACGATAGGCTATGAACAGCACAAAAAGAAAGCTTAAAAATACGTCCTTTCGACAAAGGAAGCATATAGGAAGAGCGTTGGTGTTTGTGGCGAAACACTCAGTACACTCGCGCACACATTTTACTCGCACACTCCCCACACACACACGTTGTTTGTGTACATTTCGTATATAAATATTTACGTATTGCCTTACTTGCAAAGTTGACAGTTTCAATCCGAATGTTATCGCCCACTTTAAGTGGCGTCAGGTACGAACGGCACACGGCACACCCACCGTAACTCAGAATTCAGATTCGAAATAGTGACAGGACAAATGGATGCCTTAAGGCAACGAACGTTCTTAGTGTCGCATGTAACTGGCGGCTTGGAGTGGCAGTATCGTCAGCTACGACAGCACACCGAATGGTTGAAGCACTTACTTTACTCCCTTAGTGAATGGGAGTACCACCCAATTTCACAAGAGCACCCACACACACACACACACACATACATAAACACTCGCAAAAACTTTGAAGCATGTAATCACAAGCATATCGTTGCATAAGTGTCATTGAGCATCACATTGCAGTACCGGCACTATCGTCGTCGTCATCGTCATCATCATCAGCAGTAGTAATAGCAACAGCAGCTACAAAAGCAGCATTTGGATTTTGCAGTACCATTGAGAAAGTCATGGCCATCAACATTCTGCTTACTACACCATGCGTTGAGGAAGGCAACGCAGTTCTTTGGATAACGAAAAGAAGGCATGGAAGTGATATGGGTTTTGGAAAATTTTTTTGTGGCAACAGTTTTAGGCTCTAAGGTGGTAAAGGTAAAGTTTGATAGTGCGAAAGTATTGGCTTTGAATAGTGTGGTAATTGCAATATATACATATACATATAACACGTATATAAGTACATTAGGGCAGAGTTATTTGCTCGGAGCAAAATTTTCGCAGAAAGTGTACAGCAAATTCAAATTCTACGATTAATTCTAACCCAAAATTTCGAACAAAATATACACCAAAAATTACGTTTGAGCCGCACAATGTTCGAGAGGGGCTTTCTTGGTAAGTTTGCGATCAAAATAGAATTAATTATGCTCTGTGACAAAACTATTATTTCATGCTCTATAAGTTCATAGCAAGGTTCATAATACTTTATAGAATCCAAATATGTATGGTGGAATGTATTAGAGAAGACCATGTTAGCCAGAAAGCTAGAACATGTTCAACGAACTGCACTCATTGGCGTCCTGGACAGTCTAATATTCTTGTAAGTCTCAACTTTGATAACACGATCCAGTGCGTGGCTAGCTCTTTTTCCTTCCACTCATATTCCCTCTAGGGATGAATATACAAAAGACAGTAGTTGAAAGGAACCACCGGATGAGCCCAAGTTTGACCGAACGGTTGTTAGAGGAGAATTTAGCAAGAAACTTTCCACCAAACTTAGCAGTCGATTGACTGGGCCCCTATCGCGGCATACGAATGATTACTGGAATCAAATGCGACGATTCGGGGCCTCCTGTTTGGTGCGTCAGCATCAAGGCAGGTAAATATCTACCCTAGTCTCGCTCATGACACACTTAAAGCCAGTGGAGGTATGCCTTACCTCTCTCTCGGTCGCTTCTGAGTATTTCCTTCTCAGACACATACACGAAACTGTATCATCCACCATGATATGGCCCAGAGAGGGACATCTTCGAGTCGGTCATACTGAGAAAAAAGGGAATGAGAGATCCTTTGGTTGCATATTTGCAATTTTAATAATGTTGCTCGTTCATTATCAATACATATGACTGAACCGAAAAATGCACTGTATCAGTCTGGCAAAGGCCGTATATCTCTAGAGATGCTGCTCTATACTATCCTCATCGACGATACCTATGATGGCCAAATTTGTACTTATGGAATGTACTCCGTAATCAGTCTTATTAAGATTCATAGTACAAATTTTCTGTTTGTGAAGGTTCATTACGACTTCTGTGAGGCATCTGTAATCCTTTAATTGATTTTTTAATTGATTTTTTGCCTGGAAAGGGTGATTATCTATTTTAAAAGTTCGCATTTTTATTTAATTTTACGCGTACAATATTCACGCATATCAATTAGCAAATTTTGGCAAAACCATGAGCATTCTACAAATTTCAAGGGATTCAATACAACAAACAAGTTCTCAGCAATTACCAACCACAACAAGTGAATTTCTCCGCCGGGTAAAATTAAATTTAGAGAAACTAAAATAGCTACTGAACCCATCACACACACAAACAAACAAATCCCATTAATGCATATATACTTACAGTGGCTCAAGAAAGTGTTCACATGTTGATTTTTTTTCTAATATTTACAATGTTTTTCAATTGAAATATTTTGTAATTTTTTGTAAAACAATATTGTCCAGGGTTTAACCAAAACCGTATATGTACACTCACGGCAAATAAATTTTGGCGCAGAGAATTTTTCAAAATACATATATGCTAAAATTTTTCTCCGCAATTTTTTTTTTATAAAAATATGATACAAAGAAAAATATAATTTCTTAACTTTGTGCAAAACTTAGGAAAATTCAATAGATTTCAATTTTAAACTTTTAAATCCGATTTTTTTGAGTATGCAGCTTTGTAGCCCGCTAAATTTTAGTATGAAAAAAATGCCAGTTTGAAGCTGCATAAAAATTCGCGTGATACTCGAGAATATTATTGTTTTATTGTTTTATTTTTTTATGAAGGTGTTTTGTAGTCTTTCGAGTTTGCACTTTATTACACCAAACAACTGCATACTCAAAACATTCTAAAAATCTGATAAAAAAAGTGGAAAATTTGCATGGAAATTTATTGCATTTTCCTGAGTTTCACACAAAGTTTAGAAATAATATTTTTATTATTATTATTATTTTTTTTGTTGTAGTATGACTAAATTTTTATATAAAAAATGGCGTAAAAAAATCAAATCAAACTTGTCGTATATATTTTGAAAAATTCTCTGTGCCAATACTTTTTGCCGTGAGTGTGCCTTTTAAACTTTATACAAAATTTAGAAAAATTAAACAAAAAAATTCATTAAAATTTCGAACATTTTAATCCAATACTTTATAATATTTTGGGTACGCATAAATTTTTTTTTAATAAAGTGTCGGCTAAAAAATTGCGTTGATTTTTTTTTCTTGAGGGATTTTTGCACTTTTTTCCAAAAAAAATATAAATTTCTCATGAAATAATATGCACAAGACCATTCGCAAAACAAAATTTATATGCAGTTTTTTTAAATTTGCATTTGTTATCTACAAAAAACCGCAAGTCGTCAAAAAAATATATGTATATATAAAATCAACGCGGGTTTTTAGACACTTGAACCACACTTGCTCACACAAAAATGTTCTCGAATTGAGTATAAAAAGTTGGAAAAATTTCTGAATTTTTCTAAATTTTGTAAAGGATTTAAAACGTCGACTTAAATGGTTTTAGTTAAAACACGAACCACATTTTTATAAAAAAAATTTAACTTGAAAAACATTCTGAATATTTAAAAAATCGACATGTGAACACACGTTTGATTCACTGTATCTATGTATGTATTTTAATTTGTAATAATCAATCGTAAATACGAATGCCTATGTGTGTTTGTACGTACGCATATCAATTTACATTTGCAAGGCATTAGCATATATCTGGCTACATACATATCTGTAGTAAGCCGCGTCTATCGCATGGCATAGTCAAAGTTGTAGTTTCGAATGTTTACAAATTTCATAGCATATGTTAAGGCGTTGTAAAGCTGCATGTATCGTAATTTGTATTCTATGTATCAATTCCCTGCGGCTGTGTGAGTTCACATTCGCATACCCAATGGCGTTTACAAAGTGCGATGCGTACAAATTTGTTGGTATTTGTGTTGCGGTTGTTTCAGTGGCAACCCATTTCTGGTTGCGAAATTAATTCGCTGACTGTTGCGGTGGTATAATATTCCAAGCACTCGTACATACAACAATAATAACAACAATAATAACAACAATAATAAAGCGAGCAAAGAACAGAATACATATATCTATGTACCAGCAACAATAATAGCAGAATCAAACATTTTCTCTAAATGACTGAAACGGCTCGTTGGCTGACTGACTGACTGACTGACTGACTGACTGACTAATGCCACAAACAACAATGAGCTATTCAACTGTAAAATGGACCGGTGGAGCAATCAATATTCCCATATATGTACATACATATACAGTCTAAATACGAATGCACCGAAGAGTTGGATGAGTGAGACCATAAGTGCAAGAACGCTCTAATGAATGCCTGGATATGCAAAATATTGATGCCGATGTGGGTCAATGATTTTGAAATTGTTATTTCTTCTCGTTTTTAATTTATATGTCAGAAGGATCTTGCCTAGATTATGCCGCATATGAAATACCGAGCGAAGCTTAGGGAGCTGGAAAGGATAGTAGCGAATCTGCAATAATTCGTGGAATACCCGCTACGGCAGCTTACTTACATACATACTTATATGTTTGTATGTTTATACATTCAGCTTCAATTGACTTCGCTTCGGATAATGAGCACATAGTGAGCCAAGTGCAACTAAACGAAATTATAGCAAATATGTGGGAGTAAATAGTTACTGAAGTATTCCAATTGGAGGCGGCATGACGTCAACGAGGGATAACTAAGTGGAATGTATGGAGGTTGAAAATTTATTTTTGTAGGTAGTAGATATATTGCTACAACGAATATAGATAGTCCAAGGCCAACGGTTTCTTTTTTTGACTTTGTTAATTTGCTTGATTTAAAAGCTCTAGAGGGAAACTGATGAAAGTTTGACAAACATACAATTCTAAAAAAATTTTGTGTAAATGATTACTTCATAAAACTCTTAATTACAGAATTAATTCTTCAAGTCTGAATCGGAAGTTCGTTATAGAGAAGCTTGACTGTACATATGTATGCACGTAAAAATATGTAGAAAATGCAGCTACTCACTTGATTCTATTGTAGACCAACAATTCGGCAATATCCCGTCCGAGCCCTGAGTAGGTAGTCTCTACGAACACGAGCACCTTCGGATCGATGCGCAGTCGTGCCTCCGATCGATGATCGGGCGCTCTTGATGACTCACGCGTATGCTTCCCGCTAACCATGCGGCAGTTTATAAGCGGCGAGGGGCGGGTGTCACGCTGAATTAAACTGCAAATAGAAATAAGAAGAAACATTTAAATACATTTATATAAGGTGTTGGATTAGAAATATTAAAGTACATAAGGGTGTGTGTACATATAAATCTATGTTAGCGAACAACTATGTGCTAGAGGTCTAGAGACAAAATTTGAATTGGTCGAACAAGTCTTAGGTACATCATTAGTTTTTTAAATAGATACAAAAAAAATCTTTGAAATCAGGAAGTCGGAAATCGGGCCCACCAGGCAAATGGCACTATGTATGAACTAAAAGACCGCTTGTACTTTTATTAAATTTGTAGAGTTTAGGCTAAAATCATCGTTACAAAAAATATGCCTGAGCTTCAACCGAGTTTTTATGTATAAGGGCCAATATATTCCTCAATTTGCTAGTTGTTTGAGGGAAATTAATAAAATAAGTTACTAGTAAAAACGAGTATTTTTAAAGCAAGCCTTCTAAATATGAACGAAATCAGGCCATAAATACTGGTTTACCAAACCACCTATCGGCAAAATTTTTATTAGAGTTATTCCTTTTCATGTAGTAAATATACGTGCTAAGTTTGAACCAAATCGGACTATAAATATGGGGTTTTCAAAAATTTCGACACGTGCGCCACCTATAGGATTAACTCATCTTTCGTGTTGTATTGTCATCGGGTTCTAAGGCGAAGTGAAGTTTCAAGTCTCTGAGTCATCGGAAAGTTGGTAAAAAATTGATTGCAAGATTTGCCCCTAACAAACGTACTTACATACATATGTACATACATACATACGGAGTAAGTTAAATAAAAACTTGTAAAATTATTGTAAAAATTACACTGGTTTACAGCAAAAATGTTCTATGTATGCCACTATCCAATTCCTATAGAGAATTGCTCAGTGATTCCGAAAATCGACATAATTTTTTTTCTATAGATAACTTTACGAGATATTTGCCATTTACCGTTATTTGGCTTAAAAATCCTACGAACCAATTAAGCATTAGCACACACAAGGGGTGGGTTTTGGGGTTCAAACCCCCCCCTAAAGCTAATAACCTCAAATACAAACCGTATCTTAAAGCTAAGAATCCAGCTCTCAAGGAAATTATAAGAAATATTTATTATAATTTCTGTTGCCTGAAAAAGCGCTTTGCTTTTGCTGTAAATTTCTATGAGGAAATAAATATACGAGCATTTTTTTCTTGAGAGCTGCAAACTGATTTAAGAAATTTTGGTAGAAGAAAATTTCTTTTCCATTTCCCGTCCGTCGTTTTATATGAATTTTTCGTTTTTCTTGACAGTTCAGTTAATTTTTTCGGTATTTGAAATATTAAAAAAATTTAGCAATCGTGAAAAATCACCATCTCTATCGAAAACCAGAAACCAGAAATCGAAAAAATGAGCATAAAAGTGCAAAAATTTATGGAATCAATAAATTTATTTTTACTGACTCTTTTAAAATTGTTTAATAGGTACTTTTAAAAGTTGAGCGCATCTTGAGTTTATAGAACTTTTTATTAAACAAGTAGTTTTTAAGGAAAGTAGTTTTAAGGAAAGAAAAGTGTTTGAGTTCTGTTACTCTTATGTAAATAAAGTGCAGTTTATGGATTTTAAAACGTTTATTTATTTATTACATACTGTATATAAAACTTGTATGAATGTATTTTAAAGAGCGTATTATCGGAAGCAAATTTTCAGTATTTTCCGGTGATATATATTCAGAAATATAAAACCCCCCCTAAAATATATTCCTGGGTGCGCCCCTGCAATTAAGTAATCGTAATACGAGATACGGGAAATGAAATCTAATAAAATTCTCAATAAGTCGCATATAAATCACTTTTCGATAGCCCTAATAGTTCCAGAGAAATTGATTACTCATTTCTGACACCTCTTGCTTTCGATGCAAACACTCTACCTACTCAGCTGTGCGTGGCGTATAAATAAGACTATTTCCTGCTCATATTTCATACAAAAAATCCGTGCGCATTTTTATTTTGCCAATCATTACTTTCTTATTTATCCATTGATTTTCTTTATTGATAGCTTAATTTTTTTCTAAGGGACCAGGCTTTAACACAAATAACAAAAATTTATCCAGAAACTGTTTTTTTTTTAATTTTTTCCCTGTTATATTAAAGAAAGAAAATTTAAGTAAAAAACTAAAATTAGAAAAAGAAAAACGTTTCCAAAAGTTAAATATCAAAAAATATTTTTTCAAACAAAATCTAAAATTAATAGAAAAATAAATTAAAAAAGTAGAAACATTAAATAAAAAGTAAAATAATTAAATTAAATTAATTATTTAAAAACTAAAAGCAAATTATTTAAAAAACCTAAAAGTTTAGAAACAAGTTTCTAAAAATTAAACGATAAAAATATTTTTTTTTAAACAATAAAATCAACAAATTAAAAGAAAACTAAATTAAAAAAGTAAAAAAAATTAACATAAATTAAATTAAAAAAAACATATTTTTATTTTTAAAACAATAAAATGATAAATTAAAAAAATAATAATAATAGAAAAGAGAAACAAATTAATTAAAAAAAAAAAACAACATATTTCAAACTATCTTGCCAACTGTCTTTCAATTGTGTTAAAAAAGACTTACAACTACTTTAGTCAGAATTGCCCTGTTAGTTTCATTTTACAAGGATGTGAAAATCCCTGCTGGGTTATAATAGTATGTTGTACATGCGTGCTGGTTTTATAGTATGCATGTAAGTGTACGCGTAATGTATGCGTGAGTGTCGAAAGCTGTCGCTTCAAAGTTGAGTGATGAGATTGCCTTTTTCCTGCATTCCGAAGAAAAACAACAGCAAATGGCATAAACAATAAAACAAAATTGTTTGTATGCATTTGCATAAAAGTTGTCACACAAACACACAGACACACACATACCCACACGCATGCATGTATTCGGTGGCACGCGACATGCAAGCGGCGGGCAATAGGCGCGGCGGCGCAAGGATGCCGGAAATGCAATTACTCTACAACTAAGTAATAAAAATAAAAACAGCACTAAATTAGCATAAACCTGGCAAAGTTTTTCCGACACCATCAAACCTTCCTTCAACAGCCAGCTGCTGCCCAGCCCAGTGTTAGCCCAGTGCATGGTAGAGTAAGAGTTAGCAGAGCCATCGCGGCCATGTCGTTTTTGTTGGCATTGGCACTACTCGCCTTTCGCCTTTTCTGATTTTTGTATACTTGTGTTGACTCATTTGCAGGGCAAAGCAAACTTTTGCGGTTTTTTTGCCATTTACTACGTCATATTATATGTAGCTGTTTTGTTGTTGTTTAGTTGTGTTAGCTTGGCTGCTAATGTGGTTGCTTTGTGCTCTACTTTATTTATATTAACTTTACACACTACACTTATTTCAATGCATCAATGTATGTATGTATGTATGTATGTATGTATGTATGTATCTGGGCTGTGTGTGTGTGCATATGTGTTGTTGCTTTTGTATGCAAGTTTCCGCTTCCGCTCGTTCACACCGCTGCTTTGTATGCATTTTCCCCTTTGCGCTGATAAAAGAATTTCAACCCATTTGCCACAGCATTACGGTTCGCCCAAAGTATGCAATTTAATGCGTTTTTTTGGGTGTACCTTTATTTTGGTTATGTTTTTGTGATTTCTGCGTTTTTAGCGCATTTATGCATGCAACACTGCCGGTAAAAAAGTGTGCGTAAATATTGGTATACTTTTGTTTTGAATTTGCTTTTATGTAAATTTTTGTTAATTTAAATACGCAGCACAAAAAAGGTGTCTCTCTGTTCGAAGTGTGTAAGTGGTGCTGCTTGCGTACAATACTTTAGAAATGTTAAATTAAATCCACCCGCAAACAGCTGGTGGTAATTGCCCAGCAGGCAATTGTCGATAGGGCAAGCATTAATCAGATGCGCTTATGAACTTTTGGTAAATAGATGTAATGAGATGTATGTTAGTGGTCGTGATAGTAATGGCAATGGTAATGGTAATGATAGTTGCAATGACAATGGTAATGGTGGTAATTGTTAAGGTAATGGTGATGGTAATGTTAATGTTAATATTAACGTTAGTGGTATTGGTAAGGTAATGGAGATGGTAATGATAGTGGCAATACTAACGGTAGTGGTTATGGAGATTTAACTGGTATTGGCAATGTTAATGTGACAACCCTCGCGATGGCCTGCTCCTTTGAGAGATGGGAACTTTGGGACACTTAAAAGCGACTGTGCTACGTGTGGAGATAGCGGCTTGTAGCGGAGACCCAATCAAAATGAACAAACAAAAATTAACAAAGACAAATGAAACAGACGAAGATGTTCTGGAGGAAGAATGCAGCGCATTCAGAAAGAGCAGTAGAGTTGTGCGCTCCCCGCCACAAACTTCTCTGTAGGCAAAAGCTGGCTCCACGAGCACGGAGAAAGCTGCCGACGTAGCGCAGAAAGCTATACCTCCCCCAACGACAACTCCCGGCAGCCGCGGTGGTCGTCATCAACACCAGCTGCTGCAAGCAGCGACAAGCACGTCACCGCAAGCTTGGGAACTCGCGAAGGCATTGAAGATGAGCAGTTGGCCCAGATTCGGCTCGTCTTGAAGAAGATGCAGAGTGCTGTCTCCAAGCAGAAGAATGTGTCTACGGACATTAAAACGGGTATGGCTCAAATCGAGGAGAGCTTAAATATACTAATTACAATCTCCGAGAGCAACGCCGGAACTGGCCTATTCTTTCCGAGCTGCGCAAAACTGGCCCTGGCTCACAAAAGAGGGCTCGATCTCGGTCCCACTCCCCTGCAGGCGAGCTGGAAAAGAAAAAACCGCAGAAAACTGTGCCAAATAATCAATAGGCAAGGTTGACAACGCAGACAACCCAAGCCAGGGACAGCGCCAGGTCAACCCCTGGCCAATAAGGGCGAGGCGATCAGCCGGAAAAAAGACAAGGGGCTGAGAAAAAAAAGTCGCGCCAAACTCATCATTAAGCCAGCTGAAGGCAAAACCTATGCAGAGGTGCTGGGAACGATACATGGTAAGCTCCAACCTGA